CCCCTCTCTCACCCTCCCCAGTGTGTCGCCACGGTCGGCCCCAGGGCACCCTGAGCAGCTCCAACAGCAGCAGCAGCATCGCCCCCAGGCCCCCGCGGCGCAGCCGCCCGCGCAGGCGCCGCACGCGTCCCTAGGGGGCGCAGGGTCCCCGCCCGTGGTGAAGCAGGTGGGGCGCTTCATGGTGACTGAGGGGTCTTCGATGGACCTGCGGGAACAGCTGCAGCAGCTGGCTCTCGCCCAGCAGCAGCAGCAACAGCAGCAGCAGCAGCAGCAGCAGCAGCAGCAGCAGCAGCAGCAGCAGCAGCTACGCGGCACAGTGTCCGGCGCCGCACGCGGCGCGCCGCAGCCGGGCCTGCTCGCGGCGGCGGCCGCCAAGGTGCTCGCGGCGGCGGGCGGCGGCGCGGCTGGGGCAGCGCCAGAGGAGCATCGGTACCAAGCAGGGGGCGTGAGTACGATGCCCCCAGCGTTGCGCACCGACGTGCCTACAACCCAACTTCCCTCTGCACTTCTGCAAGAGCAGCAGCCACCTCAGCCACAGCAGCAGCCGCCGCAGCATTCGCCGCAGCAGCCGCCGCCTGACGTCGCCCCTCCCAGCGTCGCCCTCTTGCCCGCCGCCGCCGCACCGGCCGCGTGGGCAGCTGGCTCCGGGGCGCCCGCAAGCCTGGCGCTGCAGCTGCCCCGCAGCTTCCGACTGGGCTCGCAGGACCTCCAGGAGTGGCTGCTGTCTTCCCCCATGTCCGCAGCCCTCAGCCCCCCGCCCGCCTTGGCGGCCGCGGTCGCTGGGGCGGCCCGCGAGGCGGCGCCGGCGCCGGCAGCCGCTAGGGCTGTGCCGCGCATCTCCTTGGACGCACCGCCGGCGGCGCTACCCGCAGTGGCTTCAGTCCAGGCCGGGGCCCCCAACGGATATGGGGAAGCGTCCGGGTCGCTGGACACGCCACGGGGTGCTCCAGACCAGGGCGACGGCCTGCAGCAGCGGCAGCAGCAGCAGCAGCTGCAGCAGCGGCAGCAGCAGCGGCAGCGCTCGCCGCCGCCGCGCGGGCCGTCCGCGGCCGCGTCGCCGCGCCCCCACACGCGGCCCCAGTCACGTAGTGACCAGGATGCGGGCGCGGCGGGCTCCCCCCGGCAGGCCGCGGCAGCCCTGAAGCAGCAGCAGCAGCAGCAGCAGCAGCAGCAGCCAGTGGCGGGTGCGGGGCGAGAGGTGCTCGAGCCCCACCCGCAGCAGCATGCACCGGCGGCCGGCGGCCGACAGTGATCGAGCCCCTGCATATTGCTCGGGCTTTGAGATTCAGCGGCAACTAGCCAGGCACCCAGCGCAGCGCCGCGCGCTGATCAGTCCCACGCTTTTGTTCCCACTTCCATTTTGCCGCCAGTTCTCTTGATTTTTTCGACACAAGTAGCGTTCTGTGTGTCTTGCGATGCGCTTTGCTTGCACTGCCAAACATTGCCAGCCTTCTGTTTTCTTCCAGAACCACAGCCCACAGCCGCCGCGGAGGGCGTTCGCGCCACTCCGCGGCACCGCAGCGTTACCACTTCCATGGAATCCCCAGCCATGACCCCTCATCCGCCGCCCGACCCCCGACAAGCGGGTGCGTGCGGGCACGCCCTGTGCGTTCCTTCATGCTCCTCGTGCTGTGCCCCTCATCGGGTCTCCGAAGCAGGGTCTGTCTGGTCGTGTTTGCCCGCGCACATCCCCACTTTGACCCTCTCAACCCAACGCAGCAGCAGCAGCAGCAGCAGTAGCAGCAGCAGCAGCAGACACCCCCCGCGGTCCGCGCTTGACGCGGCGCCTGGCCCTGCCCTGTACCACCGACCCCCTAACCCTCCGACCTCACACTCCCCACCATGAGGCCTGGCCTCCCCTCACAATACCCACCCCAACTCCTGACCGCCCGGGCGCGCCGCGACGACCACGGCGTGCGCCCGTTCCCGCGTCGCCCGTCCCATGTGTGTAGCGACGCTTTGGCCGGCACTGCTCGACCGTTTGAACATTCTTTGGGGCGCACCGTCGGCACCTGCCGCTGCTGCCCGCGACTTTCGGCGCGCTCTGTGTGACGCACGTGACGCTGCGTGACGCATGTGACTCTGGGCTGGGCTCGCCTGCCTCCTGTAAGAGCTATGGCGGACGCGTCGCAGCACCCGCAAAGCGGACCGGCCAGTGCAAGGATGGACCTCTTTCGTGCCAATTCGGCTCGGCGCCGTGACCAGCAGACTCGCCCAGCCACCCTGATCAATACGATCCGACCCCCTTGCTCGCTCGCCCCTGTGCATGGGCCCTGCGTTCCGCCTCACGCGCCCTCGACGCGTTCCCCTTCAGCGGCCCATAGCGAGGAGAGCGTGCCGCGTGCATTGGCTCGCCCACCGAAGCCGCCCATGGCGACAGCCGACGCGGGCGTCCTGGCTCGCGTGCGGGGACTCCTATCGCTCGCTGCTTCAGTGGTGCGCACACACTGGGGTGCCAGCCAGATGCCCACAGCCGGCTGGCGGCTGCGGCGTGCGTTATTGCAGCAGCTGCCGCCGCCGCGCAGGCAGCATGAGCAGCAGCAGCGACGTGAGCGCTGTGACCCAACTTAAACTTGGCCGGGTATGCCCTGCGTTACACAATGGGCTCACGCATGCGGTGTGCCATGGATATGATCCAGCGGCGGTGTGGGAGGCTGGACTGGACAGCACGGAAGGTGGACAGGCACAGCAACAGGTAAGCATTGCGATCACACCAACCAGGCGCACCAACTGCCCAGGGTTTGGAGGTTGAAACATATATATGTTACTGAGTGCGAAATACGAGCGCCGTGCCGCGCACGTCGCGTGACGGCTGTGCTGCAAGGGGGCTTTGCTGCCCCGGCTGAAGCGGTGCGCAGAGGGAGCGGTGCGCAAAGGGAGCGGTGCGCGGAAGTGGCGGCGCGCGTGGGGCGCGCCTGGCGTGACACGGCCCAGGTGAGCGAGAGGGCACGTGCCTTGGTCCAGGGGCATCCACGATGCGCGGCCTTTGCAGCTCGCGCGCAGTCTTTGCGAATTGCAACGCTACAAACACTGATATGACGCAGGTACACTTTCAGAGATGTGGACAACGCGGCACACGCTTGAAGCAAACCCCCGCACGCCCCCTCAACGCACTGGCACAAGGCAGTGCCAAACCGCGCAGCGGCGCGCGACGCATCGCTCTTGTGATGGCGACGCAGGCGCTGTGCCGGAGGGGCCGTCAAGGGGGTGCCTGTTGGGGCGGGGCAGCGCCACTCCTTGGCTATCTAATTAAATGGCGACTCAGCCGCTGTTAAGGTCGGGCGGAGAATGACGTCGGCGCCAAACGGCGCGACAACACCCCAGCTTCGGGGCAGCGTCGGCACTCAAGCCATACAGACCACGCTGCCACTCTTGCGCTCGCAACTCTCGCGTCCGCCGCCGCCCGAGCCGGGTCGCCGCCGCCCGGATCTCGTGCTGTGATCTCAGCTCGCATTGTGATCTGAGATCACATGCGGCTGGTGATGCCGGGGCTCTGGATGTCCAGGATCGAGTCTACGATGTGGTGAGGCAAGTCACCATTGACAGTGGGTGAGAGAATGAAATTGAGTGGGTGCGTTAGATCCAGCCCAGCAGTGCTCAGCACAGGCAGAGCCGCAATGACGCAAGCAGCTGCGCAAAGCTAGAGTCGTAGCAAAGCATCGGGCTGGGAACGAGGCATTTTGTCATCCTTCCCAACTCGACGCTTGCTGCTGCTGCTGCTGCTGCTGCTGCTGCTGCTGCTGCTGCTGCTGCTGCTGCTGCTGCCCCTGCTCCTGCTGCTGCTGCTGCCGCCGCTTGCTGCTTGCCACCACTATGTGTTGCCGGTTCCGATTCTCACTGGGCGCCACCACAGCAGCGGCGGGGTGTTAACTAGCGGGGCCTCACCGTAGCAGAGGGTGGTGAGAAAATCAGAGTACTCCTTGCCCTGCGGTGGAGGCGGACGGAGCGGTTGAGGGCGGTTGAGAGAGGTGAGGGGGAGATAATTTTGGCGCCAAGGGGCGCCCGGCGCTCCAAAGCAAGACAGGGGCAGAGAGACGCGGCCTGGAGCCGCATCCCCTTTGTGGCAACGGAGGGAAAGGTTCTGATCCGCGCCCGAGCCGTGCCATCTGGTCAGGCGACAGGATAGGGGGGCGCTGTGTTGTCCCAGCAACATGCCTAAACACAGTGCGCCCATACTGCCGTCCACGCCGTCGTCCCTGCCATGCAAAGCACTCTGGATGTTTGCGTGCACTTTTGCGCAGTGAAAAGCCAGCGCCCACGCACCTGTATGGTGCCGGCCAGCAGCTTCCGAGCCAGGTCGAACTTTGAGGCGTGGAACTTGGAGTCACCCAGCTGGCTGCAGGGGGTGAGGGCGAGGGATGGCGGTGGACGCCGGGTGGGGTGTGCCGGGGATGGGGCCGGGGTGGGGGCGCGGTGGGTGAGGCGGGGCATATTGAGGATGGAATCTTGGGGGGAGGTCATTCTAGGCATTGGTCCCCAAATGATTGATACCTCCAGGATTAGACAAGGAGGGCAAGCCTGTGGCCCCATGACAGCCTGGCTCCGCAGTCGGCAGCGCCGGGGCCGGCCCTGCGCCAGTGCTCTCACACACCATCCCGATCCGCACCCAGGGCAACGTGACCTCCACAGGCGCACGACACGAAAGCCATGTGCCAGCTGCAGGCGGGCAGCCCCCAAAAAAAGGCACCCCGCCCTCGAGGAGGCCGGGGCGTGAACTCACGCCCTGAACTTCTCGGTCTCCTCGTTGAGCAGCGCCACCGCCCACTCCGCGGTCACCTCCCGCCCCTCCAGCGTGCGCGCCCCGTGGCGCACCCACTGCCACAGCTGGCTGCGGCTGATCTCGGCCGTGGCCGCGTCCTCCATCAGGTTGTGGATGGGCACGCACCCGACGCCCCTGGACGGGTTACGTATGAGATGGGGCGTGGCGGACAGAAGAGAGGGTGTGTGTCGAGGGATCTCGCTCTTGCAGGGAGGGCCGAGGGGGTCCGCAAAGGGGCTGTGCGCGTGCCGCTGGGGTCCGCAGCGGGGCGGGGCGGCGAGTGCCTGTGTCCAGCCGCAAGCCCGTTTTGGGGATGCCGGCGACCCAAATCACCGGTGACCGCGGCCACACCCCGGTGACGCCACGGCCGCGGCCGGCCCCCGGTGACGCCGCGCACCTGAGCCAGGACTCCATGTAGGCGAGGGCAATATTCATGTTGAGGCGGATGTCGCTCTCCCTGAACCCCTGGGCCAGGCCGCGCGTAGACAGCAGGTCGGCCGCCGTCACCCTGGGGGCGGCCGCGGGAGGGGGGCGAGGGGGCGGTGCGTGGTGCAGGGGCGGCGTGCTCTCTCGTGCGGCTTTGCTGTCGTTAGCGCCCGGCCGTGGGGTTGCGGTGCGGCCGCTGCATGGGCGTGGTGCTGACAAGGATGGCAAATCAGGGCAGGGCCCCCAAGTCGCAGCCTAATTTCTTCCACTCCTCCCTCCTCCACACCCTGCCTCTTAGCCTCCCCCCTCCCGCGCTCCAGCGGCAGCCTTGAAGGCATGCTCGGGAGGCAGGTGCGCCCAAAAGCAGGCGCGAGGCCGCGGGCGCGCACCTGACGTCCTCGCGGCGCACGTACAGCTGGTTGGGCTGCGGCATGTGGGTGTTGAAGATCTCCAGGGCCACCTGGGGTAGGGGTTACACCGGGGTTACAGCAGAGTTACACTAGGGTGACACCGGAGTTACACCGCGGTTTCAGGGAGGAGTGCGACAAGCGGGTCCGCAGGGAAAGCCAGGGGTTGGCCATCAGGCGGGGGTCACCAATCAATGATCAGACGGCCAAACGTCTGAAACCCAATATTCAGTCAAAAAAGCTCTCCACATCTGGCATTCGAACCCCCAACCCCTGGATGCGCACCTTGACGAGCTCTGGGTGTGCCACCCAGGTCCCGTCGTGGCCCGCCTTGACCTCCCGCAGCTTGTCCGCGCGCACCTGGCGGATTGTTTGGGGGGGGCCGGGGCCGGGGGGTGCGGCGTCAGGGGCGTTCGGAGGTGGCGTGGGGTGCGGGCAGGGTGCCGGGGTCGGGGCTGGGTGCCCTGGCGGGCGGCTGCGGGTTGTCGTGCGTTTTGGCGGGCGTTTTGGCGGGAGGACTGGCACAGACAGCTGTGCTGCTTGCTGTCCCCTGGCAAAAAGCCAGGGGACAGCAATACGTTGTTTCACAATATTTCTCACACCTCCATCTGGCCAGGCCGCATTCAATGCAGGGCTTGAAAAACGCGATCCCCCTACACACACACACATCCACACACACGTCGACGCGCGCACGCAAGCGCGCACGCACGCACACACGTGTGCATGCGCGTTCAACATGAAAACCACAACCGAGAACCCTGCCACACCTTTGCGAGCGCGGCCTGGTTGGCCGCGGGGTCGTTCTTGATGGGAATCTGGGCGGCCATGCCCCCCATGGCGTGCACGCCCCGCTTGTGGCACGTCTTGATCAGCAGCCTGGGGGAGGTTCAGGGGG